ATATGAGCGTATATGTCCAAAACCACTGCCGCGCGTATTACAGCATAAGACAAGACAAACAATACCAAAATTAATTAACAATAAGGGAAGTAGCTTTTATATTTAATATAAAATTTTCTTACTCAATACATCTCTTTACATGTAGGTCATACTTGATGTCAAGTCTTATCTTTTTAAGATAAAATTTGAAATTTAATATTATGTAAAAATTATATATATATGTAAGTTTAATATAAAATTTGTATTTAATTTAAAATTAATTTATAATAAACAAAATATCCTTTTTATATTTAACTCACCAAAGTTTTTAATTTAGCAAACGATAAGATACCAAGAAAAGTTAAAAACCGAGTTAGTAAACAAATAGCCCGCGGATCCCTACAATGACAGACGCCCAAATATCACTCAACACCGGCAAAGCCCTTTTTTGAACTAGTACAAAAAATGAAATTATCAAAATTTAAATTAAAAATTTTTAAATATCATTATTTTTTTTTAAGAGTTGTGATCATTAAATTATAAGATTAATTGACATACCTACATGGTCTTAGAACAATAATTCAGGATGCTATACCAACAGACAAAAGGTTTATTATAACTCGATTACAATTAATATGGAAAAAAGAATAAAATTAAAACTAAACGGCCTGGTGGCAAATCTTCATTAAATTGAAAATAACACATAACATTGTATATTTATAATTATAAAGTATTATAATTTAATTCTTTTATTTACCATTCACTTATAATGTTATATACGTATCTTGCAGTGATATTTTAAGTAGTGTGTATCATTGCTGAATTTTCGAGGACATTTTGAAACCACCAAAAAGAAAAATAGAAAATACATCGAAAAGACTAAAAATCAAAAGAAACTGCGATGTATTATGTATAGCTTCTCCTCTAGTTCTCCACTGAATCTGTGTGCCAAGAAACAATAAAGTCCCCAAGCTCAGCCTCCAAATCCCTCCACTGTCCATCCTCAAACTCCGCCTTACCCTTCGCCAGCCCCACCTCCACCAACGAGAACAACTTCACTATCTCCGCCACCTCCAACACCAGCACCACCCTCTCTTTCTCCAAACCCACAACTCCCTTTTTTCCACTTTCACTTTTTGTACCCCAACCTCTCACCAACCCCTCTCATGACCCTTTCCACCACCCTCTCAACCGAGGCTGTTGAACCATATCTCTTTTCCTTCCTCTTCTCCCCCGTGAAAAGCCCCGACAAGTCCAACCCTGATGATAGCGATATTATGCCAGAGGCATTAACTCCGGACCAGACCATCTCATGCTTCAACTTGCGGTCCTGTAGGCCAAGCATACCATGTTTTGAACTTGTGTAAGCGTATGACGCAGCTCCACCAAATGTCGAAGCGATGCTGGCGGTGTTGATTATGTTGCCTCGATCATTGGGAATCGTCATCCGTGCTGCATGCTTGGTCCCCAAGAAAGCTCCCACAAGATTCACATCAAGAACTTGTTAGCATTTTTTTCATGCATTAACAAAAATACTAAGAAATATTAATTTTCTTAATAAAATTACATTTAAGGTCAACAACCAAATGATTTAGTGGTAATCTTTATTTTAATTTTATTGTTTCACTTATTAAATTTAAGTATTTCAATTTAATTGTCACACTTTTTATTTATATAATATATTAAATGTTATTATTTTAACTTTATCCTCATTACTTTATTTTATTTATGTAAATGATAAACTTTTAGTAGGGATAAATTTGTCATTTTAACACCTAATTGTAGAATTTTAACCAATGATTTCAAAACCAAATCAAAGGGCAAGCCGTTTTGATCTTTAATTTACAATTTTGGTGATTAAACTGGTTTAACCAGTAAAAAAATTAGATTGATTGAATTTTAAAGATATATATTAAATATAATATAATATAATTTATTTTGAAGAGTTAGAAGTGGTTTTAGCGATTAGAAACTATTATTTATCTTAAATAGAGCTTGAGTTTTCATTTCAAAAGTGTCAAATTTATTTAATTTATGTAATTTTGTTATAATAAATATATCTTAAGGTATTAAAAATTGGTAATAATGCTTATTTGTCTTACCTTCTAAAGATTATAAGAGAAATTATCCTAAAACTATATTGTTTTAAGAAACTCTCATTGAAAAAGAAAAACTAAAATATTCTATTTTTAAAGGATAAGTTAGAGTATTTTTTTGTCATTTCTTATAATACTTTATTGAAACGATATAATTTTGTAATATTTTTTTTAATTTTTAAAAAATAAGACAGATAAATATTAACCCCTTAAAAATTAACAAATTTGGTTCCAATTAGGTGGCAAAAGTAATTTTAAACATTCGAGAGAGTAAGTGTTTAGTCTTTGTAATATTCTTTAAAGCAGATTCTTTAAAACTCCCTTTTTAAAAGGATTGGTTGCTTTAGTGACAAATGGGTTAATTTAACAAAGTATCTATTAACTT